CATTACCTTAAACCTAATACAATGAATACATATTATAGGATTGATGTTCTGGTAGTCTCGAAAGCCTATTTAATAACGAGCAAGCATTAAGGAATTCTTCTAAACCTACTTTCTCTTCATACATCAAGGTTGTGGGCATTTCCAGAATGAATTAGAATCGCATGCAAGAAGGGATATTGGAGCTTTTCCCAACATCAGATGCGGTTGCGTTTCACTCGAACATTTCTCCGAAAATGTAAGGCCTATTCGTCTGATTGTGATTGTCCATAATTCCCTTTAACCGATCTACTCACTCGGCAAAAGTTACTGTCTATAGCGACGTGGTTTGTGGCCTACCTTTAGCCTAGCTTAGCGAATAAAAACCCCGTTTCGATGCACCTCTTCAAGTGGATACCATTATCTTTGATGCTTTGATGCCGTCTGTCAAGTGGCCCGATTTCTCCGGCTTGTGGACCGCGTTGAACAACTGCAGAACAAGCAGCAGCATTCGTCGATTTCCGGTGAACTCGATCCACGTGAAGCTCTTCATCCGACACATTCACGCGAAATGAAAAAGATGGACAGAAGCAGAGCCTCCCTCGAAACGCCACTTCTCCGTTTCTTCATCTCGTGATCTGCTCGAGCTGATCGACGCCGGACTTCTGGACGAAGGGGTCTTGAAGTGAACGCGGTTGGGTTGGACGAGGGGCTTCGTGAAATGCTGCAAAACGTCGAGTTCCAGGCTTAGCTACGTCCAAGACCCGATGCATCAACTCGACCACATTTGCCCATCCCTCCTCATCAAAGGCGACAATCGGCAACCGGTTCGTCGTGAGGGCCGATTTGAGTCACCATCTCGGCCGGTACAATCGCCTCAGCGCCAGGCCTAGCGCGCATCTGTCGGGCTATTTTACGCGCCAACCACACACCACACGCCCCACACCACACATCACACGCCAACCGCATTTCCGTTGGCCAATCATCCACTCCTACCGGCCAAGTCATCACTCCGACCACTTGTTTCGCGCCTGCCAACCTGTCTCCTCTCCCCAAGACCCACTTCTATTGCCACCCGGCCAACAAATAAACACAAACACATCTCTAAGTACACATACATACACACACACACACACACAGAGGCATACAGGCGACTTACCGTCAGAGATGGATCTGCTCACGTTTGGCTACAATAAGAGGGGATAGTTAAGAATGGGCGCTTTTTCGATATCAAGCCTCGGTTTCCCAATCAAGCACACATTTCCAATCGGGCCAATTCAAATGAGTCCCCGACCCCGTCGACCCCAATGCCTTGGCCTGACTACCTCGACGGTAACCCAACAGTGACATGTACGCCCGGTCTACCAGAAAGCGCCGCAGGAGGTGAACTAGGCAGGCTTGCAAAACCACACGCATCGACATTGTGTTTGTTGAAGCACGTCCCCGTTAAATCAACCGAAAAGAGAAGTGACCAAAGCAGAGTTGATAAAAATGGAAGCAGAGTGCGGGTCAAAAAGATTGAGGGTGCGTGGAAAAAGAGAAGCAGATTAAACCGCTAGCGCGAGTCTGGATACTGTTGCTATGCCATGTAACCATAACATTGGGCAAGTATTGCAGTTAAACGAAGGAAATGCTAGTCGAGGCAGTTGAGAAGATCAAAGACAAATAATGAGAACTTAATGAGAGCAAAGGTACAGTAGAAAAATTGGGAAAAATCATAAAGAAAGAAAGAAAATAAAAATAAAAAATTAGATGGGATAATAGAACATGAAGATAAATTAAATTTAAGTAAATTTGAACAGAAATTTCATTAACGCTTCACTATCCTTACCTCAATTAATATAATTTAATTTAACTATCTAATTTATTCTCTTCTCTTCTCTTCTCTTCTCTTCTCTTCTCTTCTCTTCTCTTCTCTTCTCTTCTCTTCTCT